GAGAAAAATGTAAGTATGGTGTAACTATGGACTTAACCTTATATTTATTTATTTATACAACTGATTTTTTTATTATTTTTTTTAGAAATGATGAATTATAAATCCACTGGAGGCATTTTAGCAATTTTATTGTTAATAAATTGTGCTTTAGTATTATGTTACGATCCAAATGATGAAAAATTAGAAACTGTTTTGCCTGAAAAAGGAACTTTTGAGGCTTTTTATTCCAAAGGAGAACCTAGAGGATCTGCAAGGTAGAAAAAATAATATATATTTATATAATATATATATATATATATATATATATATATATATATTTACTCTTATAGGGCCTCTCACAACCATGGCAGCTTCTTTAAATACCGAAATCCGGCCCTGGTCGATGCTAAAAATGCTGCAGCCTATGGTTACAGATTTGATGGTGGGCGAAGATTTAACTTTGATTAATTATTATTAATAATATAATATAAATAATTCATTACATATAAATAATACATCAAGAATAAATGAACAATGAAACCTAAAATGATTTTTTTGTTTTTTTACTCAGTTAAAGATGGTAATATTTTGTAACTTTTAATAAACCGTATGTTTAAAATTCATAAAATTTCCGGTAAATTAGTACAAAATTAAATAATCTACGATACTATCTAATATTATAAGCAACTTGGTATACTTTAAAATCTCAATTTCAAACAGAATTTTGAATTGTCCTATAGTTCTAAAATGACTTGTAACTATGTGCACTCATCTACTAATTATCTTGTAACTTTTAAACCATTCGATTATTATGAATGATGCATATGAGAAATTCGTTTAAAATTAAATAATCTACAACTTTTCCTAACACCAAAAGTTCCTAGAGCAACTCGGTATACTCTAAAATCTCAAATTTAAAACAAAATGTTGAATTAGTCTTATAGTTCTAAAATGACCTGTAACTAGTTATTGCATATTCATTTACTAAATTTCCTGTAACTTTTAAACCATTCTATTAATATGAATGATGCATATGAGAAATTTGTACAAAATTAAATAATCTACAAATTTTACTAACATCAAAAGTTTCTACAGCAACTCGGTATACTCTAAAATCGACATGAAATATCAGAATACTAATTTAACTGTTCATAAGTGCATTATTTTAGTATATCGTTCATAACTTTTAAATCATTCGATTAATATGAATGATGCATATGAGAAATTTGTATAAAATTAAATAATATACAACTTTTGCTAACATCAAAAGTCCCTAAAGCAACTCGGTATACCCTAAAATCGATATGAAACACCAGAATACTAATTTAACTGTGCTTAAGTGCATTTAATATATTGCTAATAACTTTTAAACCATTCGATTAATATGAATGGTGTATTTGAAATTTTTTTATAAAATTAAATTATCTATAATAATTAACCCATACAACAACTCGGTATACTTTAAAAATAATATTTTTCTTTGGTACGGAACCCGAGCTTTAACGGCGCGTCGTTACTTTTTTTATTTAATGTTTTAAAGAAGTCAAGAAAACAAAATGAATGGCTTCCAGATAATTCCTGTATTTTTTTTATTGTTGAATTTATAATGTAATTGCCTAGATAAATTCCTTTATGTTTATAGGGGAGTCGGGGGCGAAACTGGGATAATTTATTGTATATAAATATCTATAACATTTATTTAAGATTTTTTGTGTATTTTAGTACGGAACACTGAGGTGGATTTATGATGGAGTATTTTTTAAATTTAAAGTAATTTTATTTAAAAACTAAAGGAACACTGGGGTGGATACATAATATAATATTTTTTAAATTTGTTCACAAAAATCTAGAAAGTTTATCGAATTTTTCATGAAAACCAGAATAATTTAATTTAATTTAATACCTACAAATATCGCAGATAATAAGTGTTATGATTTATTTTGGAACGGAATACTGAGGTGGATACTTCTTGTAATACTTCTGAAACTTTTAGAGGTCTTTGGAAAATCATTAATTTAGGAGACAACTCTCCCATAAAATTGGAATGTTATATTACTACTATGTTACGGGTCCATCTTCGTATGAACTAGTAGTAACAAACTATTAAAAAGCCATGTATTTGCTTTGCGTTCAGGCGTTTTACACATAAAACCTAACTTCACGTATGTGTTATCCAAGAGACAGCAGAAAGTTGTACTTTTTATAAAATTGTTATTAGCCGTTTTGCGTTGTGTAGGTTAGGTTTTATGTGTGAAACGTTTTATCGTACAGCTAATACATAGCTTTTCGACAGTTTTTAATACCATTTTATATGAAAAAAAGACCGCAATAAAGCGTTGCCGTAACAACGCTATGTTACATTTTTATTTTATAGAAAAATTGGGTGCTAAGTTTTTTTTTTGAAAGTGGTTTTTAAAAGAAATTTAGTATATTTTAAATAAAAAAATAAAAATAATGTCAAAATTTTGATAAAAGTATGTTTTTATTATACATTTTTCTCAAATTTTAATATTTTCTAATATGTGTAATAATTAATACATTTAATTTGTATACTTTTAATATTTTGAATACTTTATTTATTTATTTAATTAATTATTGAATTTTAATATTTATTTACTTTCACAAATGTTTTTTTTTACTTTGTGATAATTTTTACTGTTGTTTATTATATTTTTGACAATAATTAAATATTTTTATAAAATTCTATTACTTCTTTAAAATTTTTAATATTATCTGTAAATTTTTCTTGTTTTATTTTATTAAAATTTATAATTTTTTGCATATTTATACGTTTCAAAGGTTTCTGAACATTTGGCAACCTTATAAAAAATGTGTGTGTATGTATGTGTGGATACAATTTTTTGTTAACGTTTTCGGTTGCACGGATCAACCGATTTGAATGATTCAAAAAGCAATCGATTCCTATTGATAGGGAGACGTGCTGATTAGTTTTTGGCAAAGGTCGGTCTAGCTGTTTTGGAGTTACAGAGCAAAGAGTGAGAGAAGAGACCATCCGATTTGAATGATTCAAAAAAACATTCAATTCATAATAATGGGGAGAAGTGGTGATTAGTTTTTGGCAAAGGTCGGTCCTGCCGTTTTTGGAGTTACAGAGCAAAGAGTGGAGAAAATAGAAATATAGTTTTTGAGAGAACTGAATATCCGATTTGAATGATTCAAAAACCATTCAATTTGTAATGATTGGGAGAAGTGGTGATTAGTCTTTGGCAAAGGTTGTTCCAGTCGTTTTGGAGTTACAGAGCAAAGAGTGCAGAAAATATAAATCGAGTTTTTTAGAGAACGGAGCATCCGATTTGAATGATTCAAGAAACATTCAATTTGTAATGATGAGGAGAAGTGGTGGTTAGTCTTTGGAAGAGACAGGTCCAGCCGTTTCGGAAATACGGAGCTAAATGCGTAAAAAATTGCAGTTGTTGAGAGAACTAAGCATCCGATTTGAATGATTCAAAAACAATTAGTTCCAAGATCCAGCAATTTGCCTTAAGGCGCAATGCGATGCACCACTATCTCTGTTTCTATTATACAAAATAAATCATCAAAAATAAAATTTATCTCTATAAGTGTGCACAATACCACCAACCTCCCCTATCCACCAATCTACGTATGTATGTATCCACATATTTAGATATTAGGGCGTTAGGGCTTCGAAAAGGATTAAAGCATCACTTTATATTTTTTTTCTATTTTTCGAGATATTTTTTCGGTGTAATAAATTTTTTTTCGGGGGGGCCCCCTTGCATGGAATGCCGTGTTACCTGATTATAAAAATCGAGACCGGCAACTATTTCGGATTAGTTTAGTCCTTGTCTCCGATCGAAACGGAGAGAGAAATTAATTTGTAGTTGTAATATTCTGATGATAATATTATTTTATTTTTGATTATTATTTAATATTTAAATGTTTATTTATTTTTATTGATAATTTGTAAATAGTTGGAGAAAATATGATCTATAAACATTTTATCGAGGTGAGTTCTTTTTTTTAATATTATAATATTAGTTTAATATATGTATTTGTTTTTTTATATATTTTCAATATTTATTACAATTTATTTTATTTTTTTTAAATATAAAAAAATTATTTTGATTCATTTTTAATTTTTCTTTCTATTTTATATATTTTTATTTAGTATGTCCAACGCGATTTATAATTTTTTAATTTTTTTATAATTTTTAATACATATTATTTAATTTATGTTTATATATTTTATATATATATTATATTTATTTATATATTTTTCATATAATTTATATATTTTTAGTATGTTTTTATTTATTTTATTACCGTTTTATTTTTTAATATTTTTTTACTATTTTTTTAACAAGTTTTGTTAAAGTTTAACTTGTGCTTTTAATTTATAATTAATAAATAAATCGTTATTAATGGCTTTTATTTCATTATTAAGCTTTTTCTGAATTTTTGATGTTTTTTTTAAATTTTTTTTAAGTTACTTGTGTATTTTTAATATTTTTAATTACTTTTGGTTTTTATTTTAATTTAATTTAGTATTTATTATAGTATATTATAGCATGTTTATATTTTTAGTATTATTTATATTTATATTATTCTTATATTTTTGGTTTTCTTTATTAACTTATTATGATTTAATTATTTTTATTTACATTTTATTTTTATGTTGATTTTAAAATTTCTTCATACAATTTCAATATTTTTAATACTTTTTTAATGTTTTAGATTTTTTATTTTATTCTAAGAATTTTTAATCAGTTGATTACTTTTATAGTTTATTTTAATTTTTTTATTACTTTAATTATAATAAGTGTTGATAAAGAATATCTTTTATTTAAATTTTAATATGTTTTACACTTATACACTCTAATATTATATTAATTATAGATTTTCTTTTAATATTTTAGTACGTTTTAAATTTATTTTATTAATTTTTTAAGACCTCTTTAATATTTTTCTTTGTATATATTCATTATACTCTAATGTTATATTAATTATTGTTCTTTTCTTTTAATATTTTAATATGTTCTAAATTTATTTTATTAATTTTAATAATTCTTTTAATATTTCTTTGTTAATATTCAAAAGTTTAGATTTATTAATTATTTTATTTAATTGTTTTAATACTTAAATTTTATTTTATTATTTTTTTATTCTATTTATTTTATGTTCTGTTCACCATCTAAAATTTTATTAAATTATTGATTAATATTTTTTAATATTGTAATATATGTAAACTCTTTAATATTTATTTGTTTATATTCAAAAATTTTGATTTGATTTTTATTTTGTTTTAAATAGTTCATTATTTAATTCTTTTTTTCTTAATAATTATTTTTGAATTCTATTTATTTTATTTTTTGTTTATAAAAAATTGGTATTTGTTTATTTTAAATTATTTTGTTCTATTTAAAATGTAAGTAATTTTATTAAATATGGATGTTAATAAATTTTGTACTTATATATAACATATTAATAATATATTTTTTCAGGTTTTACTAATATTCTTGTGGACTTGTGAGAGTAATGCATTTTTTTACAATTGGGGAAAAGAGGAGACGACGTAAGTTTTTATAATTTATTTTAATTATTTATATATATATATATATATATATATTTAAATTACATTAATAAAAACATTAAACTTACTGACGTTTTGACACTAATTTTATCCATCATCAGTATGAAATTAACATTTTTTTAATTTGGACTGATGATGAGACAAGTCACAGCATCCAAACATCTTTAATTCTCAATGCAAGGGTTTACTAGTATATATATATATATATATATATATTATATATATATATGTTTTTATAGATTAATTCTTAGAAGAATGGTCTTGGACTAATGCGAGTAATTATCTTTGAAAAGGAACTCACAATGCATTAAATAAATATCGACTCAAAACTTATAAAAAAAAACTCAAAGAAAAAATTGAAAAGGGTCAAAACATCATTTATTAAAATCCTATCTTAACAGACACATATAAAAATAATACAGGAAATGAGGAAATTTATACATATATTTTTTATGATTTTACTTTTCTCTTAGTACTAGCATCCCTTTTTTCTCAAAAAAATATTTATTTGGTTTGGATTTTTTTATTTATAATTATTTCTGAGTTTTTGTTAAAAAAATGATTCCAAAAATAATAAATTCAAGAACATTTACATTTTCATGATTCTTACAAATTTTTATCTCCCAAATTTATCAAACAAGAATTATTTACATAAGATTAAGTTGTGTATGTAAGATATATAAAAAAAAATCTTCATTTTTCTTACGTAATTTTTTGCAGGCATTACGTAATATTTATGTAATTCTTACGTAATGTAGATTACATATTTCTTACACTAAAATTACGTAATATTACGTAACTGGTTTAGTGGGTTATTACAGCATAACATCATTTATTTAAATTTTATACCAAAATAGGTAAATATAATGCTCAATAGTTCAATTTATATATTTTTTTTAATTCTAAACGATTCAATGAGCTCGTCCGGACTTCCTGTATGCCATATATACAAAGCTGAATTATAATTTAATTGATATAATGCATGCGTTGTAGTGGGTAAACTATTCATTTAATCTGTGTTAGCTGCCTCTTTCGTTTATCAGTTGGTAATTTTTTATCACAGGTAAAAATATAGGGCTGCAGTTTAATTTATATATTTTTTTTAAGTTTTTAACGATTCAATGAGCTTGTCCGTACTTCCTGTAAGCCATACAATTTCAAATAATCATTTAATTTCTTATGATGCTTGCGTTGCAGTGGGTAACCTTTCATTCGCTGTCTCTTCACTTATATATCACACTCTTCAACATTCACAATCGATTTTTGTCATACTAAAAATTTTCTAGAAGTTTTTTTTATTTATTTATTTGATATAATTCGTACATACTGTATCTCAGTCGGACAATTGTTCTGGTATGAGCGATCACAGCAATTATAACAAAAATAAATCTAAATTATATGTATGAATGGAGGAATAACATTTTTTCTAAACGTTTGTCGGGCCAGCTAATATATGTATATATATGTATATATATATATATAATTGAGATGTTGTCCCGACCACAATAGACCTGCAGGTGGTCTAAAATTATTAAATTAGGACCTCAAAAAAACCTTAAACCGGATTTGTACAAAAAATTTTGAGATCAATTCTCGCTGGCGTTATTATAAAAAAAAGTCTAAAATAACTTCCCATACTTAGTAGTAGAATTTTTAAGTACTCCATTCATACTAATCGAGTGATTTGAAAGTAAATAGTAGAAATATAGTAGATAAATGAGGTGATATCGTATATTAAATAAAAAGGTTTTTGGAGTATACCGAGTTGCTGTAGAGCATTATACTTTTAGAACTGTTTAATTTTGAACAATTTTCTCAAATATATCATTTGAGATAAACGAATGGTTTAAAAGTTACAAGAGATTTATTGAATAAATGTACTTAAACAACTTGCAAGTCAAATAACGATTAAAGTGCTGAAGAAAGAGTACTTATAATTCCATTTTGAATAAAATTTTAGAGAATTTCCAGTTGCTGTACGGCCTTATAATATTAGACAATGCTGTAGATTATTTAATCTATTATATAAAAATAAGTCGGGTTTTCCTTCCTGACGATATAACTCCAGAACGCACGAACCGATTTCGACAATTTTGCATTCGTTGGAAAGGTCTCGGACTCCGTGAGGTTTATAGCAAAGAAAATTGAAGAAAGATTTCAACAGAAAAGCGGAAAACACTTTTTCTTTTTTCACATACAGCGTCATCTCTGATACTTAGGATGTACTACAAATTAATGTTTTTTGTTTGACTGCTACTCATTGTTCTCTGCTCACAGTTAATTTCATGTGACAAACCGGCATTGTGTTCACTGTGAAATTTTGCAAAAAAAGTAAAAAAAAAGTTATTCGTTTTCTAACATTTCAATTGGAAACTATCAAATCAATCACGTGTATTGTGGCAAATTTTTATTTAATTTCAACAGCAGGCAATTTTTTTCTTCATCTTTTAATCACCAAACGAAATATTACATGAAATGAAACCATAGATAAGGAATGAAACCATCTGGTGGTGAAACCGAGTTCGCCTGGTTTGCTAGTTTTTCATAAATTCACTAGATACATCTTTTATATTTATCGAATGGTTTGCAAGTTACATGGCATGTAATAGAAAAATGCACTTGGGCATAATTTTTGTTTTGAAAGTGATTTTAAAAATATACCGAGTTGCTGCAGGGTCTTATAATAATAGAAAGTTTTCAAAGTTATTTAATTTTGCACAAATTTTCCATATACATCATTCGTATTAATCAAATGGTTAAGAAGTTACAAAAGATTTACATTTTTTTAAAAGAAATACATTTAAACGACTTGCAAGAATATACTTATGTTCCATCTTTGACTTGAATTACGAGTATATCGAGTGGCTGTAGGATCTTAAGTTCTTAGAAAAAGTTGTAGATTATTCAATTTACACAAATTGCCGAATATTTTATGCATTTTACACATACTGTTCAAAAGTTACAAGAGAAAAATAAATGTGCTAATGAATTTAATTTACAATTTTATTATTCCTTTTCCAGAAAACCACCAGCAGAGACACCACCCATATACCACTACCGAGCCTTCGCCTATCCCATAATCCGTTACTTCAACCACCCCAACCAAATTTACAACCCATCCAACCAACTAAACAACCAACAACAATATCCGTACCCACAACAACCATTTTATCCTTACTATGGTTACAACTACCCGCCTTGGTATCCGGTTCCAAGACCGGTATTGCAACCGGTTCAGCCTAAACCACAACCGGAAAAACCGACAACCACAACCGTGGTTGTGACCCAGGCTGAGCAGAAGAAACCAGAACCGGTTGTGGAAATCCAGGCGGCGCAGTCGAAAATTGATACTAAGGAGGATGAGAAAAAGGATATTGTGGTGAGTAATTGATGTTTTGAGTATACCGAGTTGTTAGAAAGGCTTTATTTTTAGGAAAATTTGTAGATTATTTAATTTTAGACAAATTTTTATTAAACGACATTCATCTTATCGAATGGTGATATAGAGATATTTTAAAAATAACATCACTAAAGCATGATATATTCTAATCTAATATTAATATTAATTTAAAAGTAACATCACTAAAGCATGATATATTCTAATATTTGATGACAATTCTAGAGTATACTGAGTTGCTGTAGGGCCTCTATAGTAGACTAGATAATTTTGTACAAATTTATCTTATACATCATTCATATTAATCACATATTTTTAAAGCTACTAGATATATAATAAATAAAGGTAAAAACGCATGACTTGCAACTGTACTATTTAAAATACATCTGGCCAATACAGTTTACAAAACCAAATCTAAAATATCTTTTATTATAGAGCAACCAAAACTCCATAAACCAGCAACCACCAACAACCGCTCGACCACCACAGCAACAGCAACAGCAACAACCATCATCAAACCAGGTTCAACCACTAGGCAACTTAGTTTTGATTCAGCAACCCCAGCAGCAGCAGCTGGTTGATTCTGGTTATCAATTGGTTGACTTGGTTGATCAGCAACAACAGCAACAACCTGGTGTTATGGTTCCTAGACCAGTTGACTTGTCTACACAATTGGATTTCTTGGCTAGCCAAGACTTGATGCCAAGCCAGGTAACAGACAGATAAATATATATAAATAAAGTGACAGTTATCAAACAGGAATTATGTTTATAAATATTTATTTATATTTTTTTAGTCAGTAGTTCAACACTACATATCATCAGCAGACCCTGCCATTGGAGTCCCAAAGACTCTAACAGTCCAAGACAATGGAAAAAATTTGGAAACTTTTGATTTTAGACAACTCAACAACGACAACAGGAATTCCAACAACAATAATAATGTACAAATGGTGCCGTGTATGTGCCCCATAAGTGTCCAAGAGCCTCAAAGTTTGGCTTGAAGTAGATATGAATGTCGAATAGATGGTAAAAGAATCAGATAATATATAAATTAAGCACGTAAGACTGATTTTTATAAGTATGTACTTGTTTTTTAGTTTATAGAATAGAATTATATTAATTATTAATGAGTAAATATATTTATAATATAATAATAAAGCATATTTTTTATATACATATACTATTTATATGTTTAAAACAAGTGAATAATTGTTTACATACTAAATGTGGAAACTTTATGTATATAAATTGATATACAAGTATTAAAATTTAATAGGATTTATATCAGTATAATTTATATCTAGACAACACATGAAATACATATATAAATTGTATATTATCAAGAAATGTTTAAATTTACCTAATCTTCATTCGGTGTAAAAATTAACACTGAGATTAAATAATTTTTTACTGAGTGAAGGCTAGGATTATAGCCGAAACGTTTGGATGTAAAAGAAAATTGTTTTTAATTGATGCTATGCTCGATTATTAGACTTTGTTAATATTTATGTATATATAAATATGGAAATAATTTGTTTTTTACTGGATCTTCATAAAAAAGTATTCAAATTACCAAGCTTTCTTAAAAACTATCAAAATTATATTAATTATATAACATATATGCTTTATATATATGTAGGTATAATATTTACATACTTTAAATAAGCTTTTTAGAAATCTTAAGACGTTTTAATCAAGTGTTTCCAGATTAGTTCAAAATTTGAATTTGAATTTACCGCCAAAAGTGCTTTAGCAAAACGTCACCTCAATCAGGCAACTTCACATCGAACACATACTTGAAATTTTTCAAAATTAAGCAAAAAGACTTTCTAAATACATTTGTAATCTGTTTTTAACAACAAGAGCCCCGTTTTTATATATATTTAGGCTTTTTAATTGTATTTTTTATTAAGTTAAATATATTTCCTTTATCCCGCAGCTGGCAACCCGCTTTCTCCTCGCCTAGCAAATATACCCTTGGCGTGGCGTTTTGGTACAATAGGTTGTCACTACATTAGGGGCGTGTTTTTTCCTATTTAATCCTGAAATACGCACACAATACTTACTACAAGACATTTCGACAATCCATAACAGTCTCGAGAAAGGTTGGCAGTTATAATTCGAGAGAAAAGAGTCTTTTTCGATGTCTTCGAGGAACAGGTGACAGTTGGCAGGGGACACGATAACAAGGTAATGGCGGAAGATAATAGTCATAACAAAGTTTTTAATATGATAAATGATTTAAGGATAAGTGAAATATGTGTTAGTTAGTGGAGTCTCTGGGTGAAGATGGATTGAAATTTTT